TTAGGTGGCAAATGGTAAAACCAAGGTTGGGCCTTGCTGGAGGAGTTTTATTCAAGGCGAACTATCAAGGGGTTCCCATAACACCCAACCGCGTAAGGAACGCAAAATCAAAGAACATAACACCGGTATGACGGAAACTAGGGCGACAAGAGTGGAACAAAACACCAGGCATAAGGCTGAGCCTTCCATCCTTTACCAAGTGTATAGATGCATTAAAGTAAATAAGAGATAATAATGATATCCCAACAATATCCATGTTTCAACATGGAACAAACTTCATCTTCACCTGCAACTAGCAACGCTATAAGAGGGGCTGAGCAAAGCGGTAACATAGCCAAACAACGGTTTGCTAGGAAAGGTGGGTTAGAGGCTTGACATGGCAATATGGGAGGCATGATATAGCAAGTGGTAGGTAACGCGTCATAGCAATAGAGCGAACAACTAGCAAGCAAAGATATAAGTGATTTCGAGGGTATGGTCATCTTGCCTGCAAAGTTCTCATAGTTGACGAAAGCTTGAGCCTCGTTAGCGTACTCAATAGGTTCCTCGATCACGTACTCGTCTCCCGGCTCTACCCAAATCAAGAACACGAGCAAAGGGACAACAATCAATCACGGTGCAATGCACAAACAACATGATGCAAAACATTGCATGATATGCGAGATGTGATATGCAAAGCATATGCGTGCTCCGGAAGGGAAAGATTAACCAAGGCATCAACTTGGCAAACCAAGTGTGCCGCTGGAAAGTTGAGATGATTTCGGTCGAAATCGATATAAAGATCGCCGGAATCGGATACACGGTTTGCAAATGGCAAGCAAAACAAAAATGGCACAATTCTGCGATTAACAGCACGATGCCATCTAGAATGCAACAAGAAACTAAGCTACTGCACTCTAACATAGCAACAAAGTCCATGGGAGTGATGTACTCAAGATGCTTGACAAAACATGAACACTGAGCTACGGCTAAATCACACAAGATCAGGTTCAAACAAGCATGGCAAAAGTGCAAAAGATATCAGCATCACAGACTTAGTGAAAAAACTAACATGCCAGAGAATAACATCGGGAAGCCATGTTTAGGGCAAGCAAACAACATGCTACAGGAACATATCATAGCAAACAAAGGCATGGCATGAACCTACTAAAAACATAGATCAAAAGTCCCTTACTGATCATGAGCCAAAAATGCACAGAAGATATGATGGCACCCATGTAAACATAGCAAGTTTTATTATCAGTTTCAGACTTAGCACAAAACAGAGCATGGTATAAACAAAATTATGAAGGCATCTTTGCGAGCTCAAATCACTCATCACAAAGCCTTGCATGATAAGATAAGCATATCATCAGCAATATGACATGTTCATGAAGCTAACCATGGCAAGAGCAAGTTCATAGCATGCATGGATCAACTACAACAACCATGGCAAAATTGATTAACACGTAAACAATCTGCCAGGAATATTTATAGCAAAAGTAGAGAAAGATTAAGACATGCTAGGGCGCTCCATAATTGCAAACGGGGGCATGGATGGATAGAGCATAACCATATATTCACAACATCCTTACTGAAGATACTCAAAACAAGCACTGATCTCACTGTAGCATCATGTTTACATGGCATAAAAATAATAGCAGATCAAGGACTTAGCAAAATCCTAAGTCCCTGAATTCGGCAATATCATGAAGACTACTTTGCATGCTTGTGATAGTCACCACAAATATCACAGAAATACATATCAAGCACCTCTGTAAAGATGGCATGGCATAGATCAAAACACATGTAGAGCTCATGCCCATAAGAAGCACACATCAAATGTGGCAAAAATGACAAATCCTCATACTCTGATAAGTAACAGCACCTAATAATTTATAGCACTCTTGCATCAATGATTTGGGCATCAAGATGGAATCAAACAAGCATGTCACAATGGAATGTAATAAAGAGCATCTCCCAATGAACATTTTGATATATCATGCGCATGAAACGGAGCTATGATCATGGAGTTATTATGCAATGAACAGGGGCATAAAATTTAACAGGGAAAAGACTTGGTGGAAAAATGACCTCGCGCGAAAACCATATCTAGGGTTCGTCGCACGGCGCGCGAACCGAGGACGACCCGAGCTCTCGTCGGAGAGGAGGGGGTGCTCGCCGGAGAAGGACGGGGCGGCGTCGGGCGGCGCGGTGGCGCGTGGTGGCGGTGCGAGCTCCAGGAGGCGGCGGCGCGTGCTCCGGGAGGCGGCGGCGCGTGCTCCGGGAGGCGGCGGCGCGGGGCGGGTCCGGCGGGAGCGGACACGTCCGACGGCGGAGAGGACGAAAATTAGGGTTTCGGGACCTGGAAATTTGACGAGGTGCACATATTTATAGCTAGGAGGATGTAGGAGTGTCCAAATGAGGTGTAGTTTTCGCCCACGCGGTCGTGATCCGACGTTGGAGGACATGGAAGAGGTTTGGATGGGTTATTGGGCCGTTTTGGAGGGGTGTTGGGCCGCAACACACAAGAGGCCTTTTCGGTTATCCGGTTAACCGTTGGAGTAACAAACGGACTCCAAATGACACGAAATTTGACAGGCGGTCTACCGGTGATGTACCAAGGCCACTTGGAAAATCTCGGTCCATTCCGAGAACGTTTAACACCCGCTCACGAAAAGAGACAAGAGGGGGACGCCGGTGCACGTAGGAGTGTCGGATTGCAAAACGGATAATGGGGAAAATGCTCGGATGCATGAGACGAACACGAATGCAAATGCGATGCACATGATAATATGATATGAAATGCATAAACAAAATGCAAAACGAAGACAAAAACCCAACCACGAAGGGAATCTCATAACTTAACGCCGGAAATGGCAGAGTCGGAGTTACAATTATGGCAAGTTACATCCGGGGTGTTACACGCCAAGCCCTCCATCTGGTCGTCCCTGCCGGATCTCATGTGAGGCGAAGAGCACGCCAAGGCGCATCTCAAGTCACCACAACAACCAGCAGGGACACCCATCGGCCGGCGTCCTTGTCACTGCCCAGACAGCCGAAGTGGAACGCCGCCGCCCACAACCGCGCTGAACTCGCGATCGTCCCCGGGGCTGCCGCCCCGAGTCCCCAACACCGCCGCCAAAACGACGCACGGGCGGCCCTCCCCCTTTGAGGCAGAACCCGCCGCCCCCGCGGCCAACGCCGGCGGCAGGGGTAAGAACGGATTTGGCCCTCCTCTAGCAGCTATGTTAGACGCCCGGTGTCGCCAGGAGCGGCATGGGAGTGAGCAAAGGGTTATGCCACCTTTTTCCTTGTGTAGTTGACCTGGCCGACTTATATACATGATAAAAGGATGTGTTGGAGAGACATCTCTTTCTGACAGACATCTCTTGAAAAGCATTCCTTTTATATAATTGATCACATATTTTATTTCTCAATATTTGCGAAGCCTGCGGAAAGAAAGCCAGTAAAAATCTTCTCTGGGTAGAAAATGGGGAGTATTAACTCCAGTGGCAAAAAAAAAAGAGATCGAATTTCAAGCGCACAGCCCACGTGCCGCTCCCCTCCGCTTTCCGTCATCCAATTTACCACACCGAACGACTCCCCCCTCCCCTCCCAGGCTCCCACCACCTTCGCTCGTTCGCAGCAATTCCCCTGCTCGCTTCCAGTCTGTTCCCCTTCCGGCCAAGAAAGCTCATCGGCCGGCGCGACGAGGCCACACACGCGCAAACCCCCGCCGCGCCGCTTTGCGTCGCCCCAGGTGAGAACGGACGGACGGACGGAACCTCTCTCCTTCCTCCCTCGACACCGCATTACCACCCCCCGTCGACCATTGGCGCAAAACCCTCAAACCCTACCTTTTACCCTTGAGCCGGGGAGGTTCTTCCTTTCTTTCCTCTTCAAGAACATTTGCCTCGTTCGGGGCGTGGTGCCTAGTTTATCTGTCCTCTTTCTTCGTTGGGGTTTTCTGCTCTGCTCCGATCGAACCGGCCGCCGCAAAATCGCTTCCTTTTTTTTTTGGTCTGCGTGCGATTTTGGACCCGGCGACGGTGGATTTCATCCGTTCCCTTTCGGTATCTCCTTGTGTAGTTTGATTCTTGGCTCTTGTACTTTCCTCGATCCCTTTCGGGGGAGCTCGATTCTTCAACTTCTTTTTTTTTTCAACTTTTTTATGTGACATGATTGACGGGACTGGGGAGGGCTTGCAAGAAACGAACAAATGCAGGAGGATCAGAGCAGGTGGCCCCAAATTTTGCGGGAGTGTGTTTATTTTCTTCTTCCCGGCCGGCTCCTCTGTTCTTCAGTTTGGGAGGAGCCCTGTTACACAAACCCTCGTGCATGCTGAACCTGTCCTGTAGCTTAATCAATTGCATTACCACACTTGTTAAACCTTGTTGGAACAGACACCTATGTTAGGACTTACGACATGGATGATTGGCTGTTTGTGTAAGCTATTGCGACCTTGTCCGCCGGTGGTCAACACAGATTAAGCTTCCTTTGATTTCTGAAAGAGGCTTGTGGAATACGGGCACTAGGTGTTATTCTTGTATTGACTATTGCTCCTGGTATATGCTGCATATTGTAAGATTGTGTAATATTATCCACACACATCTTATTAAATCACATGACTTACACAGTATCAAACTTGTTAAACCTTGTTGGAACAGAAACCAATGTAATGATGGGGTGATTAGCTGTATACGTGAGTGATTACAACCACATTGATGCTCGCTGTAGTACGGAATACAGATTATTGAGTTCATCAAGTTCGTGCTATGCTTAGATTTAGTACAGCAAGAGGCTTGTATGGAATGTGTGACTGTACATGTACCCAGCTTCTCTTTTTGTCTCTTGTTTCCTGTGTTAGGCGTCATTCTAGTATATTGCTCATGTATATGCAACTACATCTTTAGCTTTCTGTAATATTTATTAGAAACAGTTCTTAATATAACTTGATGAACACACCTTCCCTTTCTTTATTTCTCTCAAGGTTGTTGGGCTTCTCACGTCCCTTCGCAATGGACTATACATCGGATGGAGACTCAGAGCTTGAAGCTTATGGTTCTGACACTTATGCACTTCTGCTATCAGGAGATATAAAAGTGATGCATGATGGGAGTTCATACAAGTGCCCCTTTTGTTCGGTTGGAAATGGTGACTATAACATACATGAATTACTGCAGCATGCCTTGAGTGTGGGGGCTGCCCATGACCAGGAAGCAAAACAGAAGGTAGACCATCGAGCCCTTGCCAAGCATTTGAAGGATGAACCAGCTAAATCACATAGTCCACTGCTGAGGCCAATCATTATGGATCCACAGCCTCCTCAACATAAAAGGGATGAGCTGTTTGTCTGGCCCTGGATGGGTATCATAGTCAATATGCCTTCTGAATATGTTGGAAAAAGTGCAAACCGGCTGAAGGAGCATTTCTCCTGTTTTCATCCAGTTAAAGCACATCATGTGTACAGTAAAGGTTTTCCTACAGGTAATGCTATTGTTGAGTTTGGCAAGGACTTTGGTGGGTTTAGGAATGCACGAATATTTGAGAATCAGTTTGAGAAGAATGGGTATGGGAAAATGGGCTGGCAGGAAAAAGAGCGCAGAGGGTCAGAGCCTTTTGGATGGATCGCTAGGGCAGATGATTACAATGCTCCAGGGGCAATAGGGGACTTTCTAAGGAAAAATGGCGATCTGAAGACGGTTGACGGCGTTGAGAATGAAGAAAAAAATAAAAATGAGAAACTTGTGGCCAGTTTATCTTCTAAGGTTATTGAAAAGAATATGCATTTAGAAGCACTTGAATGTGAGTATCAGGAGAGAACTGTGTCATTGCAAAGGATGATGGAACAGAGGGAACATCAGCTCCAGTCATACAGCCAAGGTGCTTGCTAACCTTCTTGTAATTTATATGTGATATATTATCAATGTCAAGTAACTATATGCACCAGCTGGTTTCTACCCTCTTGTTGATCATGTGGTGTTTAAGCGTTACAAAAAGGCTGATGTATGTTTTGAATTTCATCTGTCTTAGAACTCCAAAAGATGCGACAGTGCTCTGTCGAACATACACAAAAGATTGTTGACGAGAACAAGAAGCTGCGCTTTGATCTTCAGTCTATGACGCATGAGCTTGATGCAAGGTCCAAAGAACTTGATGAGTTGGCTGCACAGACTGATTGCGATAGAAGGAAGCTTGAACTGGAGAAGCAAAGGGTGAGGCATCTTTGTCTTCGTATGATATTTTTCAATCAACAAGCCCATATAGCGACTTGTAAGTTAGTGTAGTGTGTAGCTTCTTCTGTTCATGTACTTCTTACAGCTGTCGGTTACTATCGGATCTTCAACTGGCATTCCATAAAAATAAAACTAGTTTAGTATATTCTTTGTTGACTTAAAGAAAAACTGGCATTGGGCGTCACCTTTTGTTCTAGATATCATGGAGCAGAACTTTTGGTGTTCGGATTGTTATACAGAACTAGCATGCTGTCCACACAAATGCACGTGCAACTTCTTTAATGTGTATATTTTTTCTGAAAGAGTAATATCCTTTCATGGAAAATCAATATACTAGATGGAAATAAAACAACCTTGTAAAAATTATTCGTGAACTTAATTAACCATGCACCGCTTAGATTCTTATGCAAGATCGGACGGCCACCACGTGTGGAGCCCCGTTCCCTCGGTTCTACCGAACTTTTCTTGGATGTTCTGTCCATGGTGGGATGTGAAATTGTTATACCCAACTCGGTGGTGTCATTAGTTCCCTGAGAACTCGATGCTCCGTGACTTGTTGAAATTTTTGTTTCAATATTGTGCCATTTTGGTTGCAAGATTGAGCCTGTAAAAAATGAAAATTTAAGGAAGTCATAAACTTCAAAAAGACACTTAATTTGTACGGGTGGCTAAGATGACTATATGGCATGGTCAAAATCGGTGCAGAATATGATTAGATGTCAAAGTGAACAAACAAGAGAAACTAGATGGCAATTGTACAAGGAAGACTATTTCTGTTTGATTGATATTATTACTGGAGGGGCGTCTCCAGGAATTTGGGGCCCGGGGCGAACTTCAAATTGCAGCTCCAATTCTTTTTTATATAGTATAACTAATGGACTATCTTGAAAAAGTCTCATACCTACCCAAGAAATACATCATGCTAAAGCAGCCAAATATTTGCTGGAATACAAAATATGAGTAGAACTGAAAATCTATGTTGAAAGATCAGAAAAAATAGATAAAATATGACAAAAAATAATACGGGGATACAAAAGGGTACCTGATCTACAGGTTGCTTCATCCGTGCATCCTATATGTGTAGACACTCCTGTTGTGGACATCGATGGAAAATATCATCATCTTGTTTTTCTATAACATGAAATCAAATTGAAATAAAAATGGAGGAAAATTGAGTTCAATGGTAAATGATTTGTTTTCACTTCAATTTCAGTTCAATGTTTAAGTGCATCAATTTATAAATCAACACATACAACATCAATTTGGAAATCAACACATACAACATGTCAGTTCAAATGCATCTGCTATTGTTAATTATATGTGTGTCTTGGTCCAAGAAATTACCCAGACGTTTGCTCTTGGCTTCCGAGGTGCATCCAATCATGGGCGAGGGGGGAGGCAGGGTAAGGCGCCCATCAGCAGCAGTACGGGGGCTGGGCAGGTCGGCCATACGCTGGGGAGCACTTGCGGGAACGACATGATGGCACCAGCATGGAGCAGCTAGCAGGCCGAGCTGGATTAGAGGATAGCAGCGGCCGGCAGCAGATTGCATTAGACCGTCAGCGGGATTAGAGGCGGCGCTAGCAAGCGGGACGACTGGGGTGGGGGTTGGGGATTAGGGGAGAGCTGCGGCCCTAGGGCTTGCGGCAGTCTTGTGCAGAGATTGAGGGGGCGATCGCATCAGACTCAGGCGGCTCGCACACACGGACCTGCGCGGCAGTTTCTCCCCTGATCGGTGGCCCCATGATTTTGGGGGCCATGTGCGGTCGGCCACCTTGGCCGCCCTCATCGACGGGCCTGAGGCAACTGCATGAATGGGATGGGTATCACTCGGAGCAGCATAGTGGTTGCCTGGTTGGATCGTTGCTCAGGAGTCCAGGTTAATTTTGCTATGTGCCAATGTTCGGGTCCTATATGGCATGCCTCATCTTGTTTAGTCGTTCATTCTTTGTTAAATTTATAGATTTTGCCTATTACCATACATACACCAGGTGCACTTTTATTTTTTATCGTCTGAGTTTAAGTAACTACGTATACTTCATAATGCAATCATTTTATTTACAGTTAGTTACGAGAATATGTGGTGTGTTAGTCTTGTTTGTAGTGGCATACTTGGCCTTTGTTCAATAAGGTCATGTCTTTTTTTGTTAGCGTCATACTTTTATATTCTTTTACTTAAATATCCATGTAACACTCAAATATGACATGATATGTAACTCAAATAAGCAGAAGCAGGTTTAGGTTTAAGTCACTAATTGGTTTAGTTTTCAATACATGTAGTTGGTTTTCTTTTCTACTTAGGGGTAGTAGGGCTTGATGGGCCAAGTCAAGTGGAGTCCCATATAATGAGATTCAAGGATTATGATTTAACGATAATGTAGATTATTGAACTGATTTTTGCTTTTGTTGTGTTATTTTCTAGTCGTCCTCTCTTTTTCCTGGTTGACCCATCATGTTCTTTTAGTATATAATTGATGTATCTGAATCTACCATCTGAGGATGGAAGCATAATAATGTAACTAAATCACTTCCATTAAAATGTCATTTAAGTTGTGTTTTATTCTTGTACAGAATGCGACAAAGTCCAATCATCTTATGCTGGCAGAAATGGAGTATCAGAAAGCTAATGAGAATGTTCGCAAGCTTCTCGAACAACAACAGGTTAGTCCCTGCTGTGCGAATACATTTTCAAGCTGTTTGTTTTCGATGACACAAGTTTTAAAGATGTCTATCCTGTGTATAAACTGCAGAAAGAGAAAGAAACTGCTTTAAACAATGCTAAGAAGTTGGAGGAACAGTTTCATGTGAAGCACAATCTTCAACTAGAAATAAAGCACCTGACAGGAAAATTGCAAGTGATAAAGCTCACACCAGGCAATGAAACTTCAGAAACAGGGAAAAGAATAGCTGAACTGACAGAGGAGCTGCAAGATAAGATCGATGAGATGGAATATACAGAAAACTACAACCAAGGTCTGATCTTGCAAGAAAAAAAGGCTGCTGTTGAGTTGCAAGAAGCTCGGAAATTTGTGTTAGATGTATGCTGCTTCTAATGCTCTACTGTGTAATTTGAGTGAGTGCACTTGTTGGTTTTTGTATTCATGTTTTGTTCGATTGCAGGCTCTACAGGACTTGGGTGGTCAGACCAGTGACAAAGCACACGTAGGCATCAGGATGATGGGTGAGCTTGACTCAAAGGCATTTTTAAATGTGTGCAGGAAATATTTTCCAAACGATGATGCGGAAGTTGAAAGTGTTAAGATTTGTTCAAAGTGGCAGAACGAAATTAAAAATCCAGAATGGCGTCCTTTTAATGGAAAAGAATCGGTAAGAAATCCTTCTCTGTTTGTTACCTTACCACAACCATCCATTGAATCAAAGACGAGGCCTGATGTTGGGCAAAGACAGGGGCCCAGGGGCTTCGGGTTGTTCTGCCCACATCCTGGGACGTCCATTGATCGGACGCATGACACTTTAACGCTCACCTCCTAGGAGGACTGTTCTATCTTTTCAATGAAATGAAACGCAAAGGTCCTTTGCGTTTTCTTGAAAAAAAGGAGGATCCCAATCTGCTTAGCAATCCTTGTAGGGATGCAGGCGGACGCGTCGGCGAATGTCCGCATTTATGGTTTTTGTGTTAGCTTGGTTTTTAAAGCATCAGTGATTAGCTTCCTTTAGCCTTCGTGGACAGTTGCTGACAGCACGGACGTGCCCGCTTGCATCCCTAAATCCTTGCCATTGCATATTTAGACTCTCTGCAATTGACGAGTGCAACACCATCTTTTTGTATTGCACCTTCAAGCATCTCACCTGGTTGGTACTACTTCTGAATTTCTAAGCTTTATACATCTTCTTGCATACAAACATTTATTAGGATTGCTGATGCTGCACCTGGTGCATATTCTTTGTAGGAAGTGATCAATGAGGATGACATGAAGCTCAAGGAGCTGAAAGAGGTGTACGGCGAGGAAGCATATGCTGCGGTGGTGACGGCGCTGATGGAGCTGAATGGCAGCGGCAGCGGGAGCAGGGTTCCTTTCCCGGAGCTATGGAACCAGAGGGAGGGGAGGAAAGCAAAATCCAAGGAAGCGGTCCAGCATGCCATCAAGCTGTTCAAGGCGAGCAAGAGACGGCGTTGAGCTGCTCAACACTATGGCTCCTGTAGAACCGACCCTAACTAAGCAGGACGCCTTTCTATGTTTGCTCATGTATTAAGTAGAGGGAAATGGTGCTGCAGCAACTTGTGCTTTCTGCGGTAGTTAAGTGGCTACCAGCAGTTGTTCGTCGTCCATGGCTGGGCTGGCTGCTACTTTATTCGTGTGTGCGATGAAACCCTCCAGCATCTGAGACTGTTAGTGTTCTATATGGGATGACACTAACCGGTAAAGTATTAGTTATATGTATTTAGCTATGTGAAGGATTATATTTGACTTGTCAATTTTTTTTTCTGCGTGCGTTTGCTTTGACTCGTTTCAACAATTCCTGCTGAGGCTCCATTCTCCTTTTCCTGTGTTTGACTTTTTGGGAGGAAGCAATCAAACGGTTTAAAAAAACTGTATACGCTCGGCAGCCGATCGGCCCAAATGTGGGCCGGCGCCTCGGCCATTATTTTAGGCCTTTCAGTCTGCTTCTGAGCTCAAGAGGCTCAGGTGCGCCATTATTTTAGGTTTTTCAGTCTGCTTCTGAGTTTAAGACGCTCAGCCATTTCGAGAAAACCAGGAGCAAGTGGCGCGCACTCAGCCGCTGTCACGTGTCATGCTCCGGACGACCTCTTTAGATTTTATTTTTTCATTTTCCGCACATGCTTTTTGGCCTTTTAAATGGTTTTTTGTCGGTTTTTTGGCCTTTTGTTTTTCACCGGTCCTTAATATTTTGCATAAAAAATCGCGTATTTTTCTTTTTCTGTGAGATGCACGGGCGTGCCTCTTGAAAACAAAAAAAAATTGCCTTTCGCGAGAGGCACGAATTTGCTTTCGCGAAAGGCACGGGTTTATTTTCGTGGGAGGCATGACTGTGCCTCTCGGAAACAAAAAAGATATGTTTTTTTCTTCCGCGAGAGCCATGGATTTATTTTCGTGGGAGGCATGACCGTGCCTCTCGGAAACAAAAAAGATATGTTTTTTTTCTTCCGCGAGAGCCACGGGTTTGCTTCTACGGGCCGTGTCTCTGGAAATGAAAAAAATATGTTTGCTTCCGTGAGAGGCATATCCGTGCCTCTTGGAAACGGAAAAATGCGTTTTTTCTTCCGCAAGAGACAGATTTGCTCCCGCGGGAGGTTTACTTCCGCGAAAGCCGGTCGTTCCTTTCGGAAAAAAAAATATGTTCTCTTTTTTTTTTCATTCCATGAGAGGCACATGTTTGCTTCCATGAGAGGCATAATTTTGTCTCTTTAGGAAAGAAAAAAAAAGTATGCTCCCGGTTTGATTATTTCGTCTGATTTTTTTCGTGAAATAAAAGGTTCGTCAAAATCTATCAATAATGAAGATCTCGATGCAAGAAATCTAATGGTTAAAACAGCTTGAGATTTGAATGAACTGTTTAAAAATATTTTAAATAAATGGATCAACAAAAAAACTAAAACTTCCTTACGATAAGTGGCGCACATATAGTGCGCCACTTGTTGCAATCTAGTATGAGAGTGATCTTTGCAAAGAGTGCTTCTTAATTAGTGATTTAGAAGAAAACCACGTAAAAAGGTCAACCTATTTATGGGAGCGGCTATACAGTGCTTCAAGCGCTCCCGACCGCACTGGCGCTTTAACTCAATACGAGAAAATTCATAGAGTTTAGAGGACAATAAATATGTCACATATACTTTCTTAAAAAAACCCGATGGGGAAAACAGAACATATGACATATGGTCTTCTGTTGATATTACCTCATAAAAAAACCTTTATGAGAACCTATAAAGTAAACTCATGAAGGAAAAAAGAGTATAATATGATGCTTTTAAGAGGAACAATTCAGGAAGATACTCACCTTGTTTCTTGCATATTCCGAAGCCGTCAAGTATCAACTCCATGAACATATTTCTGGAATGTATAAGTTGGTAGAGACTTGGTGAAGAAATCAGTCACATGATTTGACTTGCAAGATATGCAATATAGAGATATTGCTTATTATGTAACATGTTTGCATACGGGCAACACAAGAAACATTATCGTTGAGATAATGGTTGGTGGATGTAGCCATGAGGTCTGTTTCGAAGACTCTTCATGAGAGGGCTACCACACCTGGTAGGAACACTAAACTTGTCTATGATCTGCCATAGTGGGGATATGATTGATGTATCCAATGATATCGGTGTTCACATTTCTGTGAAACTGAAAAACCAGGACAAGAGGTTTGATGCCTTGGAGATATCGAAAGATATTCTTGAGTACCAACCATTTGTGTTTGGTGGATCCAATGACATTATGGACCGTTGAGTCCCAATATCTCATTTCCGTCATCTTTTGGTCTAAATAGACTATTCTCTACGTCTAGAGAATGAACTACCATGAGAGTTATGGATGGATAAGATTTGTCCACAATGAATTTCTCTAATATATTATGGATATAGACAACATAGTATACCATAATGTATGAATGAAGGTGCTCAATTTGTAGTAACGAGCGATATTTTGGTTTACTCAAATCCTTTATTTTAAACTCCGTCATTTAGATGATTACATGTGTCGTCATTGCAGACACACAAACATCGATAATCATCATTGTAGGAGTAATCCTTGAGTATAAGGATCTCACTATGTCAGTTGTACCATATGTACTGACAACAATAAGTCGTATGGTGACTTACTCATTTTACACAATGTATGTTGCATTTTGTATTTCGATTCAGAACTGAGATTCCATTGGGAATCAATCATATATGTCTGAATCTAGTGATCCACATGGATATGTAATCACTACATCTATCAACTGTAAAGATAGATGATTTTGTGCTGCCAATGATATAAGTTATCAGAAAGAGATTCCACCTCTGGAGAATAGTTGGGTATCTGCGTGAACCATTGTGCTACAATATTTGCTCTATGTTTCACCACCTCGTTGTTCTCAATTCTGTTTCCAGAAGAAAAACCGGTGTAGGTATTGCTTACGAATACCTTCCCATTATCGAGCAAGATTATTTCTACCTAGATTATACCCTTTGCTTGAGTTCAGTCCGAGTGTTATTCACACTTTGCCATGGCCATGGTCTTTGGATCTGAATCATTTGAAAGGTTTTTGGAATCTAGTTGAGAAATATATATCAACAATTGTAGACTTCCGTTATATGTTTCTCCAGAATCTATATATCAATATAGAGTTGATGGAAATATCGTTACCCATGGTGAATGCTCGCGATTTCTCAATGCGGCTGAGTCGGGTATTCTGATGTCCTGGTCATTTTGTGCACTGTGACCTGGGTTGGTGGAGGTTTCCCGTCCACTGGGTGTATACTACCCATTAGGTGTTTGTCAACGTGAAGTTGACCTACATTTACTGATTCAGAGGCCTTAATATCCTTGCTTACAAGAAGCTGAATCCTGATGTACTGTTGTCGTACTTCTCCCCATGTTGCTTTGAACGAGGAGTTGAGTGGTTTTAGTTGGTACCTACACTCTTTCTGACATATTTTTCCAGGATTGTAGGATTGTATGACACCTTTATAGTCAGTAAATAAATGTGGCAGGTTATTTGCAATGAGTTGCAAATCTTCTAAACGCATGGTTCAGATTTTTGAGTACATGGAATTGAGGCAGAAATGTGTTGAACATTCCACTAATTTCCTGGCATTATTTATGGTACTTGAAATCTCTCACTAATGCCTGGAAATGTTCCTCATTGAATCAACATACTGTCCTTGAGTAACTCTCCATGTGAGGGGCTTGAGGTATTGACGGAAATACAGTTATTCCTTATATAGATCCCAACTATATGTTGTGTAACACCCCCAGTGTCATGCTACAGTAACCTTCGATTCAAATATCCTTTGAAATTTCCACTTTCAAATCAAATTCAATTTGCAAGTGAAATATGGAGTTGCACACAAGTTGTCGCAAAATAGTTCATCATTTAGTCAAAATTCCATAACAAATAATTGTTAAGGAAAACAACATCACCTCCAAGCCAAGATGGACTATAGCAAATAAAACAGTGCCTTTTCAGCATTTTAAAATGCTATTTTACTTGTGAAAAATCTAAATGGATTCAGTTGCCCCTCAAACTTTTTGTGGCTGTGCCAGACATTGCATTGAATTTATGTGGACAATTACCATATCTTAAAAAATCTTTTTGGCCCCCAAAATATTACAAAACCCTTTCTGTAAAAAAATAAAACAGAAATGTAAAAGAAGGGGGAAAGAAAAGGCCAGGCTGCACTGTGCACTTTGGCCCAGCCACGCAATAGTGCAGTCTAGCCCACTTATCCCTGTCGTCCCCTACCTCTGTTCGCCAGGGGCTGGGTTGATGCGTGCGCGCCGTCCGTGGCCGCCAATGCCCACAGGGCGGCCATCCGGCGGCTCCCCGGCGCCTACTAGGTCGCCCCGCCCCGGACGAACCCTAGCGTCCCCCCACTTTGCCCCTCGCTCTCTTTCCCTCTCTCCCTCCAGATCCACCGCTACCGAGCGCCGCCATGGACTCGCCGCCATAAAACGCGCGGCCACAACCATCGCTTCGCCTCACCGTCGTGTCCCTCGTCTCCGCCGACGTCGTCTACTTCGTCTACGTCCACGAACGGGAGTCAGGGAGCTCCACAACACGCGGATCGAGCCGCCCCCTTCTGCCTCGGCCGCCATCGATCTTCTTCCACTCCGGCCACCGTCTGCTGCTACTAAGCTCTCGAAGGCTTTCCTTAGCCACACGGTGAGCTCCTCCACCTCCTGGTCCTCTCCATTAGCTTCCTCGTGCGCCGTAGATAGCTTGCCACCGTGCCCGTATTCTGTCCGCCGCCTACGAGCTCGTCGACGTCGCCATAGCCACTGTCACCCTCGCCTGAGCACAGCACCGTGCTCCTGGTGCTCCCAGGAGCACAACGAGCACGCGCACGCGCCCCGCTGAGCTCTGTAGCATCGTTTACGTCGAGGTCCCATACGCGTTCGCCGCCGTAGCTCATCGCCGGCCTCGTTTCCGGCCACCTCCGGCCATGTAACCGCCA